CTGAAATATTGCAATGTTGAAGTTAAATTTAATGCAGTGAAATAATAAAAATGTAGTTTGTCACCATCGTTCTGCAAACTTTGTACAGGTCCGCCATCACAAAACCGGCAATCAGTTATTCGGTTCCTTCAGTCATTCGGCACTAATTTCAGCTACCATAATATCAAATTTCCAGGGTCACCACAACAACCTGCTTGTACTGTTTGGTGGTGCTACTTGCTGCATAAGTCATTCCAATTTCTTTTTCTCCATTTATTGTTATAACGTGCTTACTTTTAGCCCTAGCCATGGTTCCAATGAATAAAAGAAATGCTTCTCGTCGTGTAAAGCATCTACACAGTACACTGTCCATTAACCCTTTGACTGTCGCAACCCGTAATCCTGAGGTGTCTCCTGGTGTCGCAAAATTTAAAAAAAAAAAAAATTATTTTTTCTTATGAAATGATAGAGAATCTTTTCCCGATTGTAATGACACCAAAAAAATGGAATTGATGGAAAACTGATGGAATTATGCTCTCACAAAGTTAGCGACCTCGGCGCTGTTTACAAATCGGCGATTTCGCCCACTTTGAGCCCTATTTTTGGCTAATTCCATTGTTCCAGTCGCCCAAACTCACAGCTATTTCTTTAGAACTCCATTTTTTCTATCGATTGAGTACAAGAAACTGCCCATATACCGACTTCAGCTACCTAATAATGTGGTCAGAAATTTGCAATTTGGCCAATTTCACGAAAACTAAAAAATATGACAATTTCAAAATAAGGTCCAGAATGAACAATGCAGACATTCCTGGCTCTAAAATAACATTTTCTTTGCTCATCAGTCATGACTCCAGGCCCCTCTGATATTACTCTTGCTTTCTATTTTGAATTTTTATTCAAACAAAAAATAGAAGACTTACTATTATGCAGACTACTGCAATACTGTAATAATTGTATAAATAACATCAACCCATTCATGACTGCATATTAGAATGGCTAGTTGGACATTTATTGGACAATGGCATCATTTGTTTACTTTTGAACATGGCAAAAATCAAACATTTCCCCTACTTTGAGCTCCATTTCTAGGTTCTTTTTATAGTAAAATCAATCAAAATCACCTCTATTTCTATAATATGTTTTCCATTCTATCAAATGAGACCAAGAAAACGAGAATACAACCATAAATACTATACGAAAATAGACCACAAAGTCGGCATTTTAATTAAAAAAAAAAAAACGGTCAGAATTTTTTTTTTCTCATTATACACTGCGTGCTCCAGGATTTTTTTTATATGGTGCACACTGACCACACAGACCCATTCTCTCACATGTGGGCCTACCAGCTTTCTCCTGCTTGATTTGAAGCCGCTAGAATTTATGAGTATATATACGTCAAACACGGTACCTCGTAAGAAGTATATGTACGGCCGCGACAGTCAAAGGGTTAAAGATAAGGTGGCTTAGAAGCCACTGTTAGTTGCCATGAGCTCAGTCTCGTGATGCCTGGAGTTTGCAAGAGAATATGCTTTATTATTATGCTAATATCAACACTATAGCTTATTTGCCTATCACAACTGAACTAATATGACATAATAAATAATATAAATAACATAAAAACATGTCAAATACTCCAGAATGAATAATATTTGTCATAATACCGAGCAGTTCGATGGAGGTATGAAGACGATATGGGATACAAGTACCATTCTCCTATCCCTGTCTTGGGGGCTTATTTTAGAGAAAACAGAGTATAGCACAGGGCTAACTGTGATATACACTCATAGTGCACCATAAAACTGAAACAAAAAAGCTGTTTTCTCTACACAGATTATCACACACAGCAGCGTATGTTTAGAGAACCTAGGATAACCCAAAAAAGTAAAAGTGGCTTATTTCTAGTACCTGGCTTGGGCTAGCCATATATGGTTTTTGGTAAATATTCAATTTCCAGCCAGGGTAGAAACACTGGGAGTGTTTCTTTACACCTGTTGTCTATGTTTACCCATCAGTAAATGGGTACCCGGGTGTTAGTGGACTGCTGTGGGTGTTATCCTGGGACACTGGCCTAACTTTCCTGAAATGTTTAGCATAACAAGGGGCTTTCTATATAGCAGTATGTCACTGATGTCAGCAAGGCCTGTATACCATGTACATATACGTGTAGTAAATAAAGACATTATTATTATTATTATTATTATTATTATTTTCTCTCTCTCTCAGTTTGCTGGGCTATCTTATTGAAACTTGGACAATGTATGATGGAGAGATGCTTCTAAACATACACCAAAAATGAAAGAAATCAGACCATAAATAATGGAGTTCACTTCTCAGTCATTAGCCTCCCCTTAGCGGTATATTTTTGTATGGTTTTTATGGTTGTATTCTCGTTTTTTTTGGTCTCATTTGATAGAATGGAAGATATATTACAGAAATAAATGTGATTTTGATTGCTTTCACGATGAAAAGTACCTTGAAACTGCGCTCACAGTAGCAGAAATGTTCCATTCTTTAGCAATGTTCAAGAGTAAACAAATGATGTCACTGTCTAATATGTGTGCACCTGCCAGTCCAAATTCCAATACACAGTCAAGAATGGGTTGACATTATTTATACAATTATTACAACAATGCAGCAGTTAGCATAACATTAAGTCTTCTATTTTCTGTGTGAATAAAAATTCCAAATGGTAACCAAGAGTAATATAAGAGGGGCCTGGAGCCATGACTAATGAAAAGAGAAAATGTTATTTTAGTGCCAGGAATGTCTGCATTGTTTATTCTGGACCCTATTTTGAAATTGGCATCTTTCGAAATTCGTGTAATAAAATTGGCAAAATTGCCAATTTCTGACCACTTTATTTAGTAGTTGAAATCGGTAAATGGGCAGTTTCTTGTGCTCAACCAATAGAACAAATGGAGTTCTAGCGAAATAGCTATGAGTTTGGTCGACTGGAACAATGGACTTGGCCGTAAATAAGGCTCAATGTGGGCGAAGCCACCAATGCATATATGCTGCCAAGATCACTTTGTGAGAGCATAATTCCGTAAGTTTTACAGTGAAACCTCAAGTTTCAGCCATAGTCCGTTCTAGAAACTTGGCTGAAACTCAAACTGTTCGAAAGTCAAAGCAATATTTCCCATAAGAAATAATGTAAATCCAATTAATCAATTCCAGACACACAAAAATATTCACAAAAAATCTCTTTTTAAAGAATAAATATAATTTTCACAAAGAAAACAATGAGAAATAAATATAAATAAATATAAACATTACATTTTAGGTAGTAGTTTTTTCCTTTTGGGCCACCCCGCCTTGGTGGGATACGGCCGGTGTGTTGAAAGAAGAAGAAATATAAACATTATATTTTAGGTAGTAGGTTGGTAAACAGCAACCGCCCAGGGAGGTACTACCGTCCTGCCAAGTGAGTGTAAAATGAAAGCCTGTAATTGTTTTACATGATGGTAGGATTGCTGGTGCCTTTTTTCTGTCTCATAAACATGCAAGATTTCAGGTATGTCTTGCTACTTCTACTCACACTTAGGTCACACTACACATACATGTACAAGCACATATATACACACCCCTCTGGGTTTTCTTCTATTTTCTTTCTAGTTCTTATTCTTGTTTATTTCCTCTTATCTCCATGGGGTAGTGGAACAGAATTCTTCCTCCGTAAGCCATGCGTGTTGTAAGAGGCGACTAAAATGCCGGGAGCAAGGGGCTAGTAACCTCTTCTCCTGTATATATTACTAAATGTAAAAGGAGAAACTTTCGTTTTTCCTTTTGGGCCACCCCGCCTCGGTGGGATACGGCCGGTGTGTTGAAAGAAGAAGGTATATATATATATACCCCTCTGGGTTTTCTGCTATTTTCTTTCTAGTTCTTGTTCTTGTTTATTCCCTCTTATCTCCATGGGGAAGTGGAACAGAATTCTTCCTCCGTAAGCCATGCGTGTTGTAAGAGGCGACTAAAATGCCGGGGGCAAGGGGCTAGTAACCCCTTCTCTTGTATAAATTACTAAATTTAAAAAGAAAAACTTTCGTTTTTCCTTTTGGGCCACCCCGCCTTGGTGGGATACGGCCGGTTTGTTGAAAAAAAAAAATTACATACCTTTATTGAAAACTCGTTGGCTTATGGAAGACAGGGAACAGGAGAGTTTGTTTGTAAACATGACGCTAATATCAACTCTACGGCTTATTTATTGATCACAACTGATCTAATATGACATAATAAACAATATTAATAACATAGAAACATGATATATACTGTAGAATGAATAAAATATATCTTACATATGTCATGAGTGGTGGTGGTGTGTTGTTGTTGTTGGGTTATAAGGGCCACTGGCAGCATAAGCTGTATAGTGGTGGTGGCAAGGCAGTGTTGTCAGTGACCCTATATACCTCCAATAACATTGGAGGAGTTAGTTTTATGTCCTTTTTCTATCGCGTAATCGCTTAACTTAATTGCTACTCAGTTAATGCTACACTTTATCGCTGGCTGGCGCTATAGCCTTTATCGACACATGCTACTGTAGTATCATACATATCATAGAATCACTGAAGAAGGCACATTCTCCTCTCTCTCTCTTCCTCCTCCACTTTCGTACTTTGCTACAATTTCTTTCTTCAATTCTATCGTGTTTCTCACTTTCTTTACCAAAGGGCTGGCACTAGAAAGTTTCTTTGGGACCATGGTTAATTACGTAGCAGTTGCACTCAATCAACAAGCACAAAAAACAATGGGTTATTGTGAAATGTTTGGATGAAAGCGCAGGGTAATGTTCACTCAAGGAGAAACAAAGACAGACTGACCCACAATGAATGCATGGGATGCTTTGTGTGGGTGCCGGCAGGCATACAGGCCTGGTAGAGCGGCCGAAACTCAAGGTACTGTTCGAAACTCAAGACAAAATTTAGCCAAAAAAAGTGACAGAAACTCAAAATGGCCGAAACTTCGGGCAGCCGAAACTCAAGGTTCCACTGTACGTAATTTTTATGTTCTGATAATTACAA